TCTGCATTCAGGCTGTAGCCACAGATACATCTTCCAACACAGAGAATGCTTCCAATGTGGCAGCTCGTTGGGCCATGTCACTCATTAAAGAGCAGCCAAGACAGATTTCCCATGAGGGTGCCAGAAAGCTGCCACCATGCTGGCTCTGTACAATAAGAACCTCTGAGGCTCTCATGTTTAAAAATCCATGTTCCCGTTGCATTCATAAGGAGACCCATGTGAACTCTCACACAGCAAGTGGGGGAACCCTGCTTTCTTTCAGGGGGATATCTGCCAGAGATCACATGCCATCAGCCAACAAGACTGGAACCAGTGGGGCAGGTCCCTTCCTTTTCTCTCTTTTTTCTCCCAGTTTTTCCCTCCTTCTCCCTCCCTACTTGGGAGAGAGGTAGATCAGTCCTGCCAGACCAAGTCCAAATGGATTCTTTGTGGAGGGCTTTTGAAATTAGCCCGAGGGCTGCATGGACCTAAGCTGAGGGCTGCAGTTCACCAGTCCCTGTCATAGCAATCTTGCAGCAAAAGCTAATCCCCGGGGAAGTCTTTCAGGCCATTCAAACCCCATTACTTCTGTCATATATGTGTACACTTGTGGCACTTGCCCAAGCTGGCCAGGAATCTCGGCTGAAGGCCCCAAGGCACTCTTTTGTACTGCAAAGGTGTGCTGTGTTTTTGAAGGATGCTTGAATGGCTGCCAGAGACATCTTGGACTCCAGCATCCCTCAGGCCTCTCGCGGCAAAGCAACAACAAGGGCTCCCTTTCCACATGCAAGGATGTATTTTGAAACAAAAGGTTTCTTCAAGATTTTCCAAGCCTTTGGGCTCCTCCTGATCCTTTTTCAAATTACAGAGATGAGGGTATACCAGGGAGAGTTGCGATTAGTCTAAACTCTCCACAGCTGTGAAGGATAAATGTAAAAATTCCACTGGAGGATGTACAACTTCTGGACTCAATTTACCTACATGACACCACGACCTGAACCAAAGGAGAGCTTGGAAGAAGGAAAAAAAGACTTGGAGCTACATCAGGGCTGTTCAGTTTCTTCCATAGCATCAATCACTGAGGGAGCTCACAACTGCCCTGCCCAGTCCGTCTGTCATTATAGGGCAGTGACATTATAGGAGTCTTGAGATGAGGAGGAAGGCAAATGGAACAACGATATAAAAAGTTGCAAGTACATGAGAATCTAAAGAGGGCTCACAATTCATTACTTACAGTACCAAGAGGATTGTAAAACACCTTGTAACTGAAATGCTTTGCCTGTAGCTGTTAAGGACAGAGGACTTCTTTTTCCTTTTTCCTTTTTTTCTCTTTTTTTAAGAGGCTGACGAATGTTGAACAATCTTGGCAGGAGAAATGCAGCAATGGGCTTTCTGTCCTTCTTCTCCAAAGATACAGGGATTCTTCAGAGCCTTTCAGAGGGACTCTTCTGATTGTTTCCTTGGGTTACCAGTCAAACACAAAATAACATCGACTATTCCCTCTCTGTTGCTTTTGTGAATGAGGGTTTGAAAAAAGACAATAATGGGCTGCATGCCAAGGAAATCCACAACACTTTGAAGACCAGGTACATTGAGTAGGTTTGTGTCCGTGTGTGTGTGCATGTGCGCACACGCGCGCGCACGCAGAGAGAGAGAGAGAGAGAGAGAGAGAGAGAGAGAGAGAGAGAGACTTGAAATTGTTACTGGCATCTGTACTATCCCAAAGAAATATATTTATTATAAACCTAATAGAGAGGAGATACAGATTTATTAAACTGTTCAGTAAGTGAAAATAACTCTGTATTTTGTTTGCTTTTTAAAAAGTTTTCCCTGTTCCTCAGTCAAAATGCCTCCTGGAATAAAACAAGGCACCCTCTGCCTGAAGACTTGTATGCTAAAAAGGCACAAGGAAAAGGAGATGGGGAGGGTAAAGGAAAAGTACGTACTTCTGTAGGGTTAGTGAGATAGCCTAGTTTCTCACTCCCATCTCTCTCTGCAGGGCATGCTGGAATGGCTTCTGGGGCTGACAGTTTAGGGAGGAAGAGGTCCATGGGGGAAGCAGATGCAATTTGTTGATGTGGGAGACTTGAGCAGGTGTTTAGCCGTCTCCCATTCTAATAAGTGAAACTTAGACCAAACCAAACAACATGTGATCTTGTGAAATATCTATGGGTCCCAAGAGGGTTTTGACTCTTGAAGTCACTAGATGCACAGAAGATCCTTTTCTTAGGATCCTCAAAACACCAGCTGCCACCACCTACTGATCTCCAGAGAGATGTAGGATCCTTCTTTTTTTAAACTGCTAGCAGAGTAATTTAAAGCCAGTACATGGAGTGGAATGGCTGGACATCAAATATACCAAAACCAGAATACAGGTATTTAAAACATTATAATGTGTGGTCAACATCCAGAACAAACTGTCTTCTGATACATAACAGTATATCATTGTTCTAAAAACCACAGTGATGCTTCCACCAGTGAGTTTCTGCCTCCCTCTGTCTGTCTCTCATTCCCTCTCTCTGCTTGTTTAATCCAGCCCCCTTCTCATTAAGGACACATGCTGAACTTGGAGGCTTCTCGGATTCCCGCACATTCCAGGACTGAAGTCAGCAGGGCAAGAGGAACAATGGAGGCCAGCTTTGCCTCTGCATCCTCCATCCTGGGCAATTTCCACGAAGTGGGAATTTCCAACCCATCTAGCAAACATTCTTTGGAGAAGAGGGTAGCAAAGTGGAGAAGGCTCAGGATAATTCTTGCTTTTCTGTTCAGGCCACCCACACCATCGTTTCTTTATAGCCTCTACTGTCAACTGTTTCTCCACTCGTTCTTCTGTTACAGATGATATTCACAGTTTTTAAAGTGTGCTTAAATGAGCTACATTTACTTTGAAGAAAAGTGACCACATACGTGTAAGTCTCGAGGGGGGACACATTTCCAATCAGGGTTTAGGGTTGCAGCCAAATGGCACCATCCAGTGTGGCTACCCATAACTCCCTGAACTCAGAGGATCACATGCATCCAGTGGAGGCACAAATGAGTAGAGGTGAAAAGTGGCTCTGGGTTCCTTCCACCCTCCAAAATATTAGGATGGCCAATTTTGGATAAGTGTTTTACGCTGGCTCATGCAAAGGGAAGCTGGAGGCAGCACAAGGTTTCCCCATAGGATAGTAGTGCTTCTTTTTTTCCTCTCCCTCCTCTGGAGACACCCAACCCACAATGTTGACTCCAAGGTTAGTCCTGTGAGCTTGGGAGCCCCAGCCAGAACAGAAAAAGCCAGCCTGGCTGTGAGGGCAGAGGGAAAGCACTATGAATTGAAAGTCAGAGCTCTGAGGTCAGAGCACTTCTGCAAGGTTGGAGCTGGGACTCTGATTAGCCTATGCCATGTACACAGCATCTTATGACATAGTATTACTCCTTAAATAAGGGGCGGTGGGGGTGGGGGATGTTCTGGCCTGACTCAGGGCTGCAGGGTTGAGTGATCCCAAGAAATCGGAAAGCTAGGACCAAACTTTACTTAAAAGGAGGAGGTATACATCCAAATTTCCCATTTGCCCCTCCCCTTCTCTGTTTCTATTACCCATCCTCAGTTGAGATGAAACAGGGCACAGAATATAAAAAAGTGCATAAATAAAACTAAAAAAGGGAGGAAAGGGACATGCCTGTGACAAGACATGGACACACCATCTAAAGCAAAGAACAGTAGTCTTCTGCTTTAGAATTATTGTTTTATCCACAGATCGTTAATATTCATATGATTAATTGATCACAGCCCTTATGAACAACATTTTAATAGCACTATTAAAAAACAGCTGGAAATGTCGCGTTCCTTCCCATAGTGACTGGAGGTGGCGCTGTTGCTCGTCAAATATATTTGCTTCCAGTACACTTTTTTTCAAAAGGTCAGACTCATGTTTTAATAAAACAAGTGAAAAAAAGAGGATTCACAAAGGCTTGCAAATGCCTTGCTAAAGATTTTCTATTGCTTTTGGAAAGAAGAAAGACAGGACATGCTCAACTGACAGCTTCAACCTTCATATATAAATTGTAAAAAGTGTATCATAAAAAGCAACAGATATTACATGCTCCAGCCAGCCATTCCGATTGGAAAATTCTGGGAGTTCTAAGATTTGTCCGTGTATTCCCCCTCCCGCTTCTACACACGCATAGGATGGCGATCTTGGAAGGTAAATCCTGCTGAACACAGGGAGCTTCGTTTCCGAGGAAGCGCAGGGTCGGTTGTTGCGCAGATTTCTGCCCCATCCACGCAGACACGGGGCGGGCAGCAATGCAACAGCGGAGAGGAGCGCAGATATGATTCTGAGAAAGGATTTAATAAAAAAAAAAACACACAGAGGAAGGAGCTATTCTCCATTATAAGACTCAGGGGCTAAAAGTTGCTTATAATAAAAATGCTGTTTTTATTGCCTTTCTAAAGGTAGGTTTGATGTCAAGCTATTTGGAGACTACGTTAAAGTCGTCCTGCCTAGAAAGTAACATCGCAGTCCTTTCCAGGGTGCATTCTACTGATGTCAGGCAAAAGATTACAATACTCTTTGACTACAGATGTTTACAATCATATTTGGCTATCCTTAATATTAAACCCATGGCTGTAAGGAAAACATTATATAGAGCAGCATTAATGAGACAGCAGCTGGATGATCTTGCGGGCTCAGTGGCCATATTGGATATCCTTTTCGTATTCAGTAGTCGTGGCCGAGTGGTTAAGGCGATGGACTAGAAATCCATTGGGGTCTCCCCGCGCAGGTTCGAATCCTGCCGACTACGACACGTGCATTTTTTTTTTCCTCCTATTTCTAGTGTTGAAGCGACAAGTTATGTCCACACTTCCGATATCATTTATTTCACTGGAAACATTTCAAAACAGTACCTAAGAGCCAGGTGCTGGGCAGAAGGGGCGGCGCATGCTGTTTCATAGCATTTCTCTCCTGCCTTTTACTCTGCCCCCATCCGTTACCTTGGCAACAGCGAGGGGCGGGGGAGAGCCGGGAGAAGGGACTAAGATGGCGGACGACCTGGATGCGCTGCTGGACGAAGTAGAGAACAAGTTCTGCCGCCTTTCCAGGCGGGACTGCACAGAGCGGGCCCATGCCCATGGGAACAAAAAGCAGCGCTTCCGCGAAGAGGAAGAAGAGGCCGAAGCTAAGGCGGCCGCGGCGGAGGAGAGGGCCAGGTGAGCAGTACGCATGCCCGTCCTCCTTTTTCTCCGCCTCCTCGTCTCTCGGAGATGAGAGTATACGGGAAGTCGCAGGTGGAATGAGACTCTTCTGGCTCTCTGTTAGCGTGCGAGGAAATGTAATAGAGCAGCCTTCCGTTTGTCATTGCAACTCCTATGCTTGCTGGGGATTTGTAGTCCAGCACATCTTTCATTTTTAAAAGGCGCTCGTTTCTGAGCGTGTTTATTAATTATATTTATATGCTAGTAAGCGAATTTAAGTGCTTTGCCCTAAACGTGAGAAGAGCCCTGCGTCAGGGTCCATTCAGTCAAGCATTCCGTTCGTTCGATGGCTACTCACTGCAGTCGTAAACACTTTCTAGGGAGTAAAGCCCAAGGAGCACAGAGATACTTAGGGTGCAATCCTAGGCATTTCTGTCTAGAGATGTCTAGGTTTGCACCCTTAGTTACTTCTGAATCACCATGCAAAAGATAGCACTGCTCAAGTATTTATTTTTTCGGTCTCTTGGCAACGCGTACAAAATTAAACAAATTAAGGCATGAGTGGTTCCCCTTCGTTTGCTTTTTGTACTTTCAGCTCGTGGCCCGAATATGGCAGCGTTCAAATGGAACCAGAAGTGAGGGCTGTGCACAGGACTACTTTTGTAATAAATCTGTGGAAATGCTGCTCTGGAGCCTTTCTCCCTGCCTTCCAACTCCGTCCAGCTCCTCCTTCAGGAGCATGATTGCCGTGCTGCCTGGCCTGCCTTAGCTCTTTCTGCCCATTTTCCGGCCTGCACCAGGCAACCCCTACCTGTCCGCACCCGTCGGCTCGTTACCCCACCACCGCCTCCCCATCTGCTGCCTCACCTAATCTATCAAACCCAGGAAAGAAGCGTCTCTAGTGACAGTTGCACAAGTGCGCAGCCACTGCATGCAAGAATATGCACGTGCTCCAAACTCACACGTGTGGTGTGATGCCGCTAGTAGCAGCCTTTGGCAGCCCTGCTTTTCACACAGGCGTGGAGATTTTTTAAAGCATTTTATCCACTCTGCTGTATTGTCTTTCTATCTTAAATAATCCTTCTGCTTTGCTTGGCCTAACTCCTGAACCACCTAATTCACAGAACAAGAAATGTATCTAGCCTGCATTTCTGCATGCATCACTTTAGTCAATGCAACTGAAAGTCCAGAAAGAAGCAAGAACTGTTAGTTTGGCTGGGTAGAGCCATTTTCTAGGAATGAAAAACTGACTAATGCCCATTTTTATTCTCAAGTAACATCATGTTTACTAGACTGTGCTGGCCCAATACTGTAAACTGCATCCTCAATGCTTGTAAGAGCTTGAAACTGGAAGGCTTGCAAGCACCCCATACAGAACCGGAGGAGCACAAAGGCAGTCTCCTTCACTCGGCAGAATTCCAGTCTGCTGATTTTGTTCATCTACCTGCAGAGCTTTGGAAGGGAGGAAAATTGGCTGGAGCATTGTCAGGTTACCTCTGTCCTGGTGGCCCCAGTCTCCTCCCGAAACTGCTCACTTTGCCCCTTTCCAAGATTGTTTTTCTAACCTGCAAGAAGCAGCTGGAATAGTTCTTTCCATGCCAGCTGAAAGAGGGGAGAGGTAGCAACGATGGATTCCCAGTTTTGAGGCCAGACTTCTGTTCCTGTCCGTGGATATGGAAATCTAAAGTATCCCTCAGCCCCTATAGGTGGTATCTAAGGGGCATAAACCATATATAGTAAGAGTTAATTGTAATCATTAGTTTTAATGCAGAGGGAAAGTTGGCACTTTATTTACACATGTTTTTTTTTAAAAGGAAAGCAAACTGATTTTTCTTAATGTAAAAAAGAAAATAAAATGATTAATTTGTATCCATCATTGCATCCACAAACCCCAGCCTCCAACTCCCCCAAATTTGAGCCACATCATAGCCCACTACTAGTGGTATCTATCTGCTAATACTCCCCATCTATAGTAATTGGAGTGAATCTACATCCCTCTTCCCCCCCCCTTTTTTTTTTTGCATTCTGCAGTCCTGATGGGGCTGGTAGGTATCTTACTTGTCCCAGAGCGAGTGTGACTTTCAATTAACACCATGATGTTTGAACTGGAAGTCAGTGTTTCAACCATAACCTTTAAACACAAGGGATGTGGTTGACATGCACTAGGGATCAGGTTCCCCGGTGCTTGTCCATTTTCTACCATGAGTCACTTTTTCAGATGTTACAGATGGCCCATGGGAAAAGTGTGCTGACAAGCTGCAAGCCTGTTTCCTGTATAAAGTGTGAATTGGCTTTGCACAACGGTTTTTTTTTGGGGGGGGGTGGGGGGAGGTGGCCTTTCTGTTCTTCCATCACCGCTTCTGCCTGCTCCATTTTTAGTTGCTGGAATTTGTGCATCCCATACCTTCCCCTTTATTTAGTACCTGGCCCTGTAGGTTCTTCAGCCCTAAACCCCTGTCTTCCACTATGGAGAACTGGTGTGGTGGTGTGCTTGGACTTGGATTTAAGATGGAAGATAACTGGGTTCAATGCCTTGGTCAGCCGTGGAGCTTGGCTCAATCACCCCCTCTCATATTAACCTACTGCACAGTGTTGCTGAAGATAAAAAGGAGGCATTCATGCATGCCATCTCGAGCTTCTTGGAGGAAGTGCAGGATAAAAACAGTACAACATATGGTTCCTGTGGTCACAAGATTCTTATTACAGTCATGAAATACTCCATTGTGAGTATATGCCAATGCCCCCCACTCTTTTTTGGCACACTTCCAAACTTCCTGTTGTACCCCAAATTTTGCAGGTTCAATCCATCAATACTTGGAATAATGCCTTAGTATAGCAGCATCCACTCTCTGGAACTCTATACCACTATAAATTAGGCAGACACTAACCCTTCTGTGTTATTGATGCCCACTATAAACATACATTTTCCAACAGGCATTCCTAGGAAGGTAACTTGGTCTTCAGCACATTGCTTATAAATTCCTTTTAATATAAGTATGTCATAAGCAATTGTTTAATCAATGAATAAATAAATCTCTGTGTGACAGATGGCAGTTGTGAGCCTGAAAGAGAAGACCTTCTGACAGGTCTCTGTTTGTATTCCAAGGTAGTAGCTGTTTCATGGAGAAGGGATTCAGGCAAAGAGACTCAGGTTACAAATTATATTGTAAACAGGTTGCAGGGAGAGGACAGAGATTTGTGATAGTACTATTTTTATTTCTCTGTAGAATATATCTGAAATTTGGAGCCACAATCTATCTGCTATAGTCTTTGCCTTTCTGAAATGGCCTCCTCTACATCCAGATTCTCCTTATCTCATATTTTTGCCAAAGTCTTTCAAGCAACTTCACAAAATACAGTTTTTTTGTTTTGTTCTAGATTTTCCAAAGTATTGACAAAAGGTGCAAGCGAAGAAGAGGACATAGATGACATAATTAAAGATATAATTGATGAGAACAGCTGTGCTAAAAATCTTGGGGTAAGTTAGAACTGCATGTAAAACCCCTGAATAAAGGGAGGCGTTCGGGGGTGAGAGCAGACAGAATTCTTGGCAAAAAAAAATGTCTTATGGAAAGTGAGGATCATGAGTCTCTAAAGTTATGATCAGAAAGAGGAAGCAGATGACATGAAATTAGAAATAAGGAGGGTGTATTGCTTTCACAAGAACTGGACTCTGTGTGAGGTAAACAAAATGTGTACAGGGGATGTTTTTAACAGCACGGTAAAAATCCTTAATGAAACTGCTTTAAAAGCATATCTTTTAAATCAAAAGTACAAAGCAGGGGTACAGAAGGAACTAAAATCTTGAAGGAAGGGGTGAGTTGCAGGACATTAGATTAGCAATAATAACTAGTGGTTCTTTCAGCTTTGTTAAAATGGTGCAACAAATCTACCTATTTCAAATGAATGGATTCTGTAAGAGAAAGATGCTCGTCTCACTTTTGGAGTGGTTTTTGAGCATTAGAACATGCACCACTTGCTTCTACTGGGTTGAACTGTCGCACCATCTAGCCTGGCCTTGACTGACTGAGAGTGCTCTTCCGCTTGCAGGCAGAGAATGCCTTTCCAATCACCTACTGTCTGGTCTTTTGGACCAGATACCAAGTACTAGACCTGGGGCCTTCTATATGCAAGCATTTGTTTTTCTACTGAGCTTGGCTGTTTATGTTTTCATACAAACATACAAGATACATTTATTGTTTTGTTAAAATCACTGGACTGCTGGGTACTCACATTTTTCATTCCTGCTAAGGCTTGTAGCACCCTTTTCCAACCTGGTGCCCTCCAGGTGTTTTTAATTTCAACTCCCATCAGCAACAGGAAGCACATCCAATTGTCAGGAATCCTGGGAGTTGTAGTCAAAAATATTGGAAGGGCACCAGGTCGAGGAAGGCTGCCTTGTCCATTTTTAGGATCCATGTTTAATAATACTTAAAGCAGACCCACTGCAATCAATGGGACTTTAGTCATGACTAACTTAACCCCCACTCTTTTCAATAGGAATATTCTGTATAAATCTAGATCCAACCCACTATCCCTATACAGTGTCAGAAGGGGATACTGCATTATATTGTGTATCCAGAGTTTTAGATGACAGACCTTTTCTAGTAAGATCAGCACAGATAGTACAAATTACAGTCCAAAAAGCCTTCAATTTCAACACTTTTCTCTATCCTGGCAGGGCAGTTTAGCACTAAGCTGTCTTTGGAGAGTATCTGTCTGGGTACAGGTCAATAGATAAGGTATACCATCCTAAGCAATTTCCTTTAGTGAAGGGTGTAGCTTTGCATGTGTATCTCTGCATACGTGGCACAGTCCCACTGAATTTTTGCCTGCAAAAGAGAATGCTGACTAATTTCGAGAACGGTCTGGTTCCCCATGTGCCAGTGCCAAAATGAGAACCTTTGCAAAGGCCATGAAAAACTGCGGTTTTTCTACTTTTTTCAGACTGTTTCTCCTCCTCGTTATTTGAAGCTAGACACATACTTTATTGTACTACTGGTTCCAGAGCTGGCCCTCTTGTGAGGCAGGGTGAATCTCCCATTTCAGGCAGCAGCATGATGCGAGCAGCACATTTCATGTTCACCTGGGGAGAGCACCTCTGTGAGCATTCCAGGCAGGCAGTCTAGAGAGCTCTGTTGGCCCCACACTCTACTTTGGCAATGATGGAGTGGGAGAGCAGCCAGGGCTCTCAGGAGATCAAGGCAGGTCTCAGTGCCTGGTCCTGAAGGGATTCCCAGAGCGAGCCAGAAGACAGGGCTTGGCTGAGGCAATGGGGTGGAGAACAAGATGTGGTGGTGGGAGGCAGGGATGGCCAGCACTAACTGGTTCATTTTTATGGATCCCCATCTCCCTCTTTCTGTGTATTAGAAGCAAACATCTAAACCATCCAGCCCTCCATCTGAAAATAATATTACCTCCATTCAAGTCCAGGGTAAGAGGTAAGTAAAGATCACATGAGTAGATAAATGCTAGCAATCAGGAGATAGTTTATGTGCAACCCTATGCTTCCCTGCTAAGAAGTAAGCCTATTGAGTTCAGTGGGGCCAACTCCTCACATAACAACAACAAAATGACTCCCCGCCCCCAAGAAAAAAACTGTGTGAGGAGAGTGGGAGTAGATATTTGTGTGGTAGGACTATGAGCTCAGGGAAGTTCTGGTACTGAAAACCTGTTTCTGAACTCTAATTCTAAGAGTTTCTCTTTTGTACCTGTTTCACACAGTGAAGTCATAAAGCAAAGTTACGCAGCTGACAGACTTGGGTATGTTGTGCCTGCTCCATCTGAGCAAAGCCACCAGCAATCCTAGACATGACCTCTGCTATGGTGTACCCTGGACTTGCTGAGGTCTGCCCACTCTGTTCCCCTGGGGACACTGTTCCACAGCAGCGGGAGGAGGTAGCCCTGTTGCAGGTGCTAGAAGGGTTCTGTTGCTCGTTCTGTTAAAACTTATTTTTCTTGGGCTGGATTTGCATTTTATACAGATAATAATATAGCTGTTTGTTCTGAATTTCCCAGTCTTACCATTCCTCCAGAAGCACCAGCTTTGTTGAAAAGCTATAGGTGCCCACTAGCATAACAAAATCCAAGAAATTATTTTTATTGGGCTGATTCCAGATCTAGCCATACCTAGAGCAGACCCATTGAAATCAAAGGGAGAAGGTAGTAAAGACTTAATTGAGTCCCATTAATTTCAATAGGTCTACTGCAAGTTTAATTTGAAAAAATCAGTGGTCGTGTTTTTCCAAAAGTAAAGCATTCTGTTTTAATTCCTGTAGATGTTGTCCAGTATATCTTGGCGGAAGCAATACACCATATGGTATTGGAACAAATTTTTCACAGAGGTAAGGATTTTGTTTAAATACTCCTGATTCTATGATTAAATCTACATGTTACCAACACTATTAAATTTGGAAAGAACATGGGAAGGTGTTTTATACTATCTAACTTGGTATCCTCTACTCTGACTGGCAGCAGCTCTCCAGAGCTTCTCACAGGATGTTCCTAAGAACATCTGGAGTTGAGCATGGGACCTCCTTAAAAACATGCAGATGAATATGGAAACAGGACAGAACAGCTTATGAATGAACCTGTGAGAAACTAATACGACAGTAGCCTGCTCCATAGTTCCTGGTTTTAGTTCCTTGGAATATGGCTGTGATTGAGGGCAGAGATACTACTTAATTTAAGGAGTAACATCAGATAACTTTTTAAAGGAATACCACAAAGGGGCCATATTCATGCTATACTCCTGAAAGAAGTTTGGGAGCTACTTATAATATATGAAGTATTTCTTACTTGGGTAACCTAGCATTTTTTCTGTCTATACTTGCATAGGCTTACCCTAAAACAGTCTTAGGCATTTCATAATAAATGTTTGTTCTGCTGGACTATTGAACAGACATCCATCCATATATGAGTAAAGTAATGGTTCTGCAGTAAGAAGCCCTTCTCCTTTGCTCTGAGTTGATTCAAACATATGTCACTCAACCAGGAGTCTCCTCCAGAGGAGAGAGGCTGGTGGATATCCATATTCTTTGATATGTCAACTCCTGTTGCTGGTCTTTAAATGTTTTAAAAATCTGGTGCTCAGTTAACGGGGGCACATTTGCAATTGATTGAGCTAAATGTTTAATCAACTCAGTGTTAAACCCTACTGAAAATGTTGGGCTGCCTTGCCTTGGACAAATACTAAACTGTAGCTTAGCATTAACAAAAGCCTTGCCTCCCTGCTCTGGACTTCTGGGCTTTCTCCTCCAGTTCAGCCAGGAGAATGAGTTTGGGAACTTTTGCTTCCATGTTTGATAGACTGCAGCTTGCTGTGTTCTCCAATCCTGCAGAAACTGTGGTTTAACTATGGTTTGTGGGAAAAATCTATTTTTAAACCATGCTTAATGAATCTGGCTTGTTCTAGCAAATCATAGTTAAGATTAACTACAGTTTGGGGCTTGGAAAATGCAGCAAGCTGAAGTTAATGTAAACAGAAGCAGACATTTTCAATCCCCTCCTTGCAGCTGAGCCACAGGAGGCAATGAGAAGAAGGATAACACAAGCATGGTTGGGAGACTAAGCTGGTTCTCAAAATGCTACACCACAGCTTAGCATGATAAGCTAATGCACACATTCACACATTTTTCAAGACTTTTGCTTCTTAATGAAAAATTCAAAGAGGTTGAAAACATTAAAATGTTTTAAAGCACACAAGATTCCTAAAGTTCATTCATATAGTTTAGAAAATATTTTGCCATGTTCAATTAGTTTAAAGCAGTCAATGATGCTGCTCCCGTCTTCCTTTGGACAGAGCCTGCAATCAGTTACGTTGTACTTCATGTGACTTCCGTGTTTCACATTACAACGACTATCAGTGGGATAAATCGTGTGATTACCTCTTTTTCAGGTATGTTTTGTGAGTAACATTGTCAGGCATATATGGAGTGTCCCCATTGGTGGATGATACTAATCCATTTTTGGCACAGCAGATGCTAAATGTCTCCATGGGAACCATTATATGCTGCATTTTCAACCATCAGGTGAGAAGGTGGGGGCCTTTTAGTATAAAAGGTGGGGGAAAGTTGTTGGCAGAGAGATCCAAAGTCTTAGATAGCAGCAATAAGGCAGAAGTATATTTATTTTTCTTCCCACTTGCAATTTCTTTCATTACACATGCAGGGGTGTGCTGTTATTTCTATTAGAAAATGAAGTAGGAGGAAAAGAGTGGAGTTAACTTCCCTTCCCTAACTGCCTGTAGCCAGAGATTATGGAGAATCTGAACATGGTTCTTCTGTGGCACGCCTAGTTTGCCTCTGGCTGAGCATCCTATATCCTAGCATCCTAGTTTCACAGCACCAATCCTAAGTGCACGTTCCTTGAAAGTAAGTTCCATCAAGCTGAAAGAGACTTCCATCTGAGCATCCATTCCTGGAATTGTGCTGCAGGTATGCAGTAGCCTCAAGGAGGAAACATGGTCCCAGTAATATCCATAATGCAGCACAGGACTCCTTTATTATTTCAAAACCAATGCAAGTCAGAACGGGGTCTGCTCAGTACATGAGATTGCCTTTTCCTTGATTTCATAAGCATCACCTAATCAGTCAGTTGAATGCCTCTCAGTTGTGTGAATAGCAGATAGTGACATGTTGATTCATAGGCATGTGTCCAAATAATTGTTCAAGGACTTCTAAAAAGAGGTTTCCCATACCCCCTTCTTAGCGCAGCCCCTTGAGCAATGTACGCTCACAAAATGCTGCTCCTTGAAGAGAGGAGGCCCAACTCTCACACATTGCAGTCTGCTAAGAGAGAGTCATCTGAGGAGGAGGTGGAATGGCAGAGGTGAGCAGATGGCTTGGCAGTTTCAAGGTTATCTAGTGAAGATTCTCAGGCTGAGTGACTTGGAAAAGTGGGGAGACATTTCAGAGCTAGATGGAGAGGAGATGCCAGAGGAGTTCCTTGTCCCAGTCAAAAGATGACAGGTGAAGCAAGTGGACCTATTATGAAATGTCCAGCATTCCCCCTGTGTAGTCCTCAAGATACCTTAAGTGTGGGTCCAGAAGCTTTTCTGAAAGGAAGAGAAGAAGGGGAAGTTTCAGATTCAACTATTTACGTGGGCAGCTGTTTCTCCCACACCCCAAGAGGAAACACTACTTTAATTTATATGTTATGTAAGCTATTAAATGTTAATAAAAGGTGCTTCCAAAGCTGCCTCTGAATTTGCTGGAGAGGAGAAGAGGAAGGGAGAGCTGCTCACCTGAGAATTGGCAATTTTTCTGGACTGCACGATGTGGCTTGGGGAGGGAGTGCAGCTACAACTGGGAGGAACTGGTAGCCTTTGCATGAATTGAAGTGCCCTGCTGATCTAGAAGGTCTCTAGTGCCAAGCCATGATCATGATGATGAGGGTTCAGACTTATACACCACTTCCCATAGAGGTAGCAAAGCGATGAACATATAACGTACAAGCAAAGATAACAGGAAAATTAACAGTAATACATGCTGATCAGGAGAAAACGCCACACTCTGCTGGGGCTGGGACAACAGCAGGCTGGGGCACTCTTCAGGTAGAAGCCTGTGTGAAGGGATGGGTCTTCGGAAGACATCTAAATGTCGGAACTGTGTGGGCAACAGGGAATGCATTCTGGGATGTGTGTGCTGTGACATGAAATGGTCTACAGCAAAAGGTCAGGAATGTGTGGCCCCATCAGAAGTGTTCCCAGTGTTAATTGCAAAAATCAGGCAAGGGCATAAGAGGAAAAGCAATAACATGATGTTTTACAACTGCCAGAACCCCCAGTTAAAATAGAATGCTCTTGATTGATAGGAATAATATGCCTGAATTCAGCAAGTTAAAAACGAAGATGCTTGTGAAGAAGGGGTCACGGGCCTACGCTTGTCAGTGCACTTGGAGATCTATAGAGGAATTAACAGACCTCACAACAGACCGACAGCTCCGGTGGGTTTGTAGCAAGCACACTGAATGAAGCTGTCTCGCTCATTCAAATGCCTGCTTCTGTAGAAGGACCATCTTGTTCATTGCTCAGCACGTTGTGTGATGAATCAAGTGTGTTCTGTGTATAATTAGATCTTGTTGCTATCCCAAACTGAGCAGTTTGCCTTGTCTGCTGTCCCCTTGTGAACTAAGCAAAGTGGGTGACATGGTGAGATGGAGATCTGACATTTCAGGTTGGTGAGAGCACTTCCATCAAAAGCATTAGGGCTATTGTAGTGTTAAGAAAGGCCCTTGTGCTTAGCAGCTCCCTACACAAATATGAATACAAAAGGTCTGAAGTTGAAGGGAACAAGTTCTGTATCATGGAACATATCCCGCAAATCTGGATGAGAAAGACTTGAAGTTAAACCAAATGCTTGGTCTAGAACACCTATTGTTAAGATGGTACATGATGTGTTATGGTATCTGAACATCTTTTTGCATTTTGTATATTTCACAGAAGAGTCTCATAAGGAGTCTAGGGCAGGATAATAAAGCCCTTAACTTTTCCTTCTGTTGTATAGCAAGTTCTGAGTCAGTATCACTCAGAAGTATTAGCAGTAAGTATTAGCAGTCATAACAGCCTTGTGTGGGAGGCTGCAGCTTAGCGTATGGAAAAGAGCAAATAGCAATACCAGTCTAGCAATGGCAAGGATAAAGGCACTCCAGCTGCAAAATTCTCAGGCTGCCGCCTTAAATGTACTTTGCTAGGGAATAAGCTCAGCCAACTTACTTCCAAAGAAACATGTAGGATTGGGCTGCACACTGCTTATGCCCCTTCATTCTCTTCTCCTTTAAGGCAGCAATCCAATATAGGCTTACCTGGGAGTAAATCCCATTGAGTTCAGTCATTCTTGCTTGTAAGTAAAGTACATGTGATTGAGCAGCAAATCAAGGAACACTGCTGCGGTTTTTTTTAACATCAGTAGGATGAACATTTGAATAAATACACTTCAACCCTATGAGTGTTATTGGACCATAACTCCCATCAACTGTGACCATTGGTCATGCTGGTTGGGTCTGATAGCAGTTCAACATCTGCAGGTCTACAGTTTCTCCAGACTTGTGCTAAAGGATATGAAAAAGTCAAATGTTTCCTGAAATATTGTTCAGAATCTCTGTGGATTAAAAGATATGCATAACATTGGGTGGAAACATATTCCATACTTACCAACTGCAAGTTGCTTTCAAACTAATCAGGAAAAGGTCTGTTTTCATTGTTTATAAGACAAAACATACACTGTTAGCATATTTTCAAATGTTATGTTCAAATCTTTATATCAAACCGCCAAATAAAAGAGGTGAGGTTGTCCTGACCTCTTGTTTCCCCAGGCTTCTCTTAAAACTAAAAAATGACCACACTGTGACAGTTGTTGAGTTGTACTGACTGTAATTCTTGTTTATGTGTTATTTTTTCAGCCTTCAGTATGTAGCATTAATATGTCTCAGTAGATTTTTCTGACACCCTGAAAGTTTAAAAGTGCATTGTAGCTGAAACAGTTCAAGCTGGCCAATAATTAACAGCATGAGTGAATCAACAGCACATTAGAAGAAAGAATTGTTGTTCATTACTGCAATTTCAAATATATCACATCCAAACAAGTCCCACTGATTTTGGTTGCCTTTCATACTATGTAATCTGTTTAGAATAAGAATACAGTTTTGATATGCTTTCTTTGAACATAAGTTTGCAATCTAAAGTGTATGTTATAGAAATAATTCCCTCTGATTTTCTCTGTAATTAAAAGCTGTATTCATGGCATTACTGAGTAGTTACTTACATTTCAGTTTCACACTTTAATTGCATGTGTGGGGCCCACTGCTTATGCAAGGGAGTCCTAGCACTTCCTATGGGAATTCCCAAAGCAAATGGTAACACTCATTTCTGCAAGGGGGAAAGTCAGCAAAACTTCCTTACATGAGTGGCACCCATCTGCCTCCTTCCAGAAATAAATGGTTCTGCTTGTTTCAGCTTGCTGCAGAAGCACTTAAGTACCCTCTTGGGGTTTGACCAACGAATGTGCGCACTTAGGGGAGAAAGTGCTGTATGCATACTGATGCTGGTGGTGATTAAAAATAGATGGATTAAAGGTTGTGGGGCATAAACATAGATTGGTTACTGATATTCTTTGGCTGTGATTGATCCTGGCCAGATACAAATTCCAGTGGTATTGGCTAATAGTATTGTGACCCCCTTGGATTCAATGATCTTTGAAAGATAGCACGGTGACCAAGATTGAAATGGGGTGATTTCACTCATGGGAGGAAAGGGTTAAACATTCCATTCACAAGGTCAAATGATCAGTCCCATGTGGCTGCTTCAGAAATGTACTGGGCTGGAGCCTGCTGGAAGGAGACCATTACCAGCTACAACTCATGGCTGAGCCTGGCTGGCCCTTTCGTCCCCCTCCCCTTGGGGCCACTTAGGACAGAGACATGAGCCTCTGGCATGAGTGAAGAGCAAGAACCAAAGGGCTCTTGGCCTTTGGCTCTTCGAACTTGGGACTTTGAAGACTGTGCTGTCACTGTGCAGAGGAGGCTGGGGAATGGAATAGAGCTAGTGGGGAGGAGTTTTTATTTTATGTTGCCTCTGTCACTCTTTTCAACTTCTGGGTAAAGGTACAGATAGTAGCAGGGTGGGAAAAAGCAGCAGCTTGGTAAAAAGAGGAGCACCTACTCTGTGCTAGGCAGTGTACTGAATGCTGGGGCAATCTGCTTTGCTTTGATAGTTTATTATGTGTCTAGGTACCTTGAATAATCTAGGGCAGTGATGGTGAACCTTTTAGAGACCAAGTGCCCAAGCTGCAACCCAAAACCCACTTATTTATCACAAAGTGCCAACACTGCAATAAAACCTGAAAACTGAGGTTTTCATTTAGAAGCCAGTCCACCTCATAGCCAGTCCAAGCAAATATATATTTTCTTGGCAGCGCACTGACTGGGCATGTGAAAGCTCGGACGAGTCGCGGCTAATGAGTCACGGCTTGTGATGTCATCACCTGGTACCACTACTCCTTTTGGAGCATGCGCATGGCCCCTATATGCGCTGTTATCCAATGCTTGGCTGCTGGAGCAATGCTGGGGAGACTTGGCTCGCGTGCCTCAGAGAGGGCTCTGCATGCCCGCTGTGGCACACATGCCATAGGTTCGCCACCACTGATCTAGGGGGAAGGTGGTATCCCCAGTAGTGTGTGCATGGGCAGGGGGGAAAATGCGGCACTGATTAGCAAGCCGTTTGCGGGGGAGGGGTGGACTAGACAGCTTAGGCCTATCCTCTCTTCTGGTTCTTCCTCCAACCAGATGGTTCCTGGAAACCTTACCAGCTTGCTCACAGGTCTGGTGCTGCTGCTGTTTAATGCCAAGACCTCCCTCTTTTATGCTTTAATTGAGGCTGGTGTGTATCGTTTAAACCTGGGTAGGGAAATGGAGAAAGGTCACTGTGGTCTGTAGGAACTTTATTCCCCCCTCTAGGCTTCCTATCCATTTGACTGCTGATCTTGAATGTATTTCATGTTAGGTACCAGAGACACATTTAGGATTCTGCTGGCATATCATCCACCCCACTACCCTTCAGACTCTCTGTCTGAGCTAATGGACATGGTCATGGTTGTTGAAGACCCCAAGAAAGAAAGTTCTGAGAGATCTGTTCTGTAGGGGATTGCTCTCCCTCTCAATGATCATTGTTATAGACTGGGGTTCTCTTGGATCCAGCACTATCACTAGAGACACAGGTGGACTGGGTGGCATGGAGCATTTTTTATCACCTTAGCCTGATACATCAATTGTGTCCTTACGTGAACAGGAATAGCCTTTCCGGTGCATCCATGCTCTGCTAAACTTTTGGTTGGATTGTAGCAATACATTATACATGAACTGCCTTAAAAAACAGTCTAGACAATTGTTTTAAATCCTTGTTTTAAATTGTTGTGAACTGCCCAGAGGGCTTGGGCTGTTGGGCAATCTAAAAAGGTAATAAATGAATGCATAAATAAACAAATGTGGAGAGAAGTTGACCCTGGATTTCTCATGTTTTGACTAGCTTAGCCACAGTTTTCCTTTATGGAAGCCAACATCTGTCTGTCTATCTGTTCCTCCACCTGATGCCCACAGTTCAGCTGGTGAGCTTCTGCCTGCATGATTTCCACGCCAGAAAAAATGCTTTGCCTAGTAAATGATGCAGGACCAGCTGAGTCAGCAGCCTAGCGGGGAGTCTGCCACCAGGGGCCCACAGGAGTGTTGTCTGGAGCAATTTGGAGTGGCAGCCTTGTATAGGCGCAGCAGAATGCATGTTCTGCCTTCAGTGGTCTGTAAGCAGATGGTCCTAAATTCTCTGTTACAGTCCAGGGCTGGCCCTGTCATGAACTAGGTGGCCCCCTGGCCATTCCTCCTGCACTCCCAGCCATTCTCTTCTGTTAGCAGAGAGAGCTGTGTGAGTCACACGACCTGTTCTGCATCCCTGAAGCTGGTCTGTGGTGCTTGGGTCCAGGGGAGTTCATGGTCCCATTGTCAGCACAGAAGTAAATTCCAGCTGCCCGTATAGTCAGCTGCTGTATGTGGGAGGGAGGGAAGGCAATCTCTCAGGCAATAGAATGTCTTGAGCTGGCCCGGTTACGGTCCAATCTGAAATGAATAAGAAGAGAAGGCATTCATGTTCTCCAAATATCAGAGCAAGGGCAGTTTAAAACGAATGCGCATCAGGTTTTTACAGGTTCCTGTTCAGACTGTAGAGGGCAGCCTTACACCAAGATATATCAATGGGTTTGTGTTTAGCCCCATCCTCACCCCACTCTCCTGACTCCAGCCGCGCACGTGTGTGTGTGTGCGCGCGCGCATCACGCAACTCAAGAGTTTTCTGTAGGCTGCTTAAAATGTATAATAGATATATATGTGTCAAATGATGCAGTCATGTCCTGCTTGTGGGTCTCAAGGGGGCAGCTGGTTGGCCACGGTGAGAACAAATGTTGGACTAGATGAACCTTGGCCTGGTCCAGCAGGACTCTTCTGATTCCCCCATGTCTTACTGAGCTCAGTTACTTCTTTTTTAACCTTAAGGTTGAGTTGATCTATCTTACAGAATGATGGGAAAGGACATAGTGTACTAATTCCCTCCAGAAATTATAGAGAGCTGCAGATTCTTCCCTTCCATGAACATGGAAGTTCGCATTCAGGAAACAGCCTGCTTCCTCCCTCCCCTTCCATGTGGAACACCCTGTGCCCTCCCCACAGTGTCCCCCAAAGCCCTTCGCTTAGGGCAGATCTTGGGAGAAGAAGAAAATAAACAACAGAATAAACAGGAGGGACCCCAAACACGTGAGGCTCCCCCAAGCATATTTTGAAGTGAAATAATACACAGTGCCATCTAACACAAGAGTAGGCAACTGATGGAGTTATGGAGACCCTTCTGAAGTTTCAGCCTACAAACACCCTCAGACCTAGCCAGCACAGCCCGTGGTGCACCATGTTAGGAGCTGTAGGCCAAAACATACGGAGGGCCACAAAATAGCTGCCTCTGATCTAAGGCTGGCCGGCACACGCAGACAAGGTGGTTATGATTCAATTCTGAAACTTCTTAAGCACCCACACCCAAAATCACTGCTTGTGTTAGCAGACACTTGGGAATGGGGTGAGATACGATTGGTGATTGCAGATGAAGGGGGAGTCTCTAAAAATTACCCTCATTCCCTCGAATGAGTAGAAAAACAACAGCACAATCCAATGTGGTTGCCAGTAACCCTCCAAATTCTGAGGATTATGGCACTGCTATGGAGATGGGATCAGTACGGAGATCTGTTCCCCCTCCTGCCCTACAAAATAATAGCTGATTTCAGCCATCTAAGTCTTTTGCCCTGGAGAAGAAGGAGGGCACGCCGAGGCACTGCCAGGATACTACGTTGTGGTGGAGCCTGCCTCCCCATCACCTGGAATGCCCACAGATCCTGAGCTCTGAGGTGACTTTTCCAACCTCGGAGCTGCAGCAGCGCAGAAAGAGCTATGCCAGTTGCAAGGGCAGCGGGAGAACACTCTAAGTTCAGAGTCTCAGCTCCAACCTCAAAGCACATTTCTGAGATCAGGGCTGGGAGTCTAACCTCTCCTATGGCTGTCTATATTCTGTCTGGTAGCCATAAGATTGCATGCTCAGTTTGCAACCCTATTTAACTGGGCGAGAAAGTGGGATTCATTATCCTGGGCCTGTCAGAAAATGCTTATTTGTTGATTTATCTTGCTAGTTGTGCTTCAGTGAATTTTTATTGTTAGTTTAAATATACCATGTGCTACCTTCAGCATTTGAAGTATGGAACAGCATTATAGAATTTATATTAATAAAATATGGAGAAAAGGGTAATATAGTTTTTGCAATCATTTTCAAATGAAACATTTTATTTCTAAAATCCGTTTTCATATTATATGATTATTTCCATTATGAAATGTCTCTGGTTGCACAGGGAGTTTGCTTACAAGCATGCCAAAAATACAGAGGGCTTGCAAAGTAATAAGAGCCCACATTTATTTTTAACAGCTGTGGTTTCTCCTGCATTATTGAGTCTTTAAGGGGTGGTTCAAGTTTTTCATGGGTTTTTCATAATAACAACTTTTGTTTCAAAATATTGCAGATTGTGTGCCACAGAATATGTGACTGTACTTCCACTATTAAAAAAATCAAGATAAACTAAGTTAATCTGTTAAAATGTTCAGCATGTAATTGAAATATAGACTGAAAATAAATGGAAAGCAGAAAACAGTACCATCAAGCAGTATAGTGTA